TATATTGTATAGCAATGCAGTTGCCCATGTAGTTGTCATTGTCGGTGTTTTGGTGACATTGAATTCGAGGGAATGAAACGCTTTCAAGGTTTAGTTATCATTGCTGGATCATCATCATCATCAACAACATCATCATCATCATCCTGCTCGTTAGCAGAATCAATGTCATGGAAGAATTGATACAAAGTAATACAAATGTTTGTACTGTAATTTTATTCAAGTCAGTGTTTTAATAAGTAATCAACGTTTAATTATTCGGGCGGGTAAAAAAGTTTCTTTTTAATGTATTTGTTTCTTAAAACATTTTAACATGTAGTAACGTGTAAGAAAGTCTGGTTTCTTTATCTTGAGAAACATCAGTGAAAATTTTTTTTAAATATATCAATAGCACTGTAAGTATACACTAGTAATTACAAAATGAAAGCCATATTTTATTAATTTGTGTATTTTAACCCAAATTACAGACTCATATTCGTTCAACTTATCTTGAATAAACATACAAACGCTGTGAATTGCATCATATTTACAGATAGCTAATGTGTTTGTCATAATAATTACGGTAGTTTATATCCTTGCCATATGTCTTATAGTACGGTACACGGTTGACTTGATATTTTTCAGGTTCGTGTGCAAAAGTGGTAATTGAAAAAAATTGACATTCGTAAAACAAGAGAACTCGAAAAATGTCACTTTAAATTCAATATGAGGGTATGTATATAACAATTTTTTTCTTGAATTAATCTAACCTTCATATAATAAATTTCCACTCAGTGTATTATACGCAATTATTCAAATTGCTTATTAGTAATCAGTCGGAGATAGGGAAATTCAGTGCAAATGAAAGTGAAATCTTCACCACTGTCTTTCCCTTATAAAGTCATATATATTTTATCCTTATAAATTAACCATGACAGTATGTCTAAACAGGAGAGTGGCCTAAATATATTCTAATGGCATTTGGAAACTTAAGACGATAATATAATATGAAATTAAATAGAAAATATTTGCTAAATGCAAACCCTATTCAAATATCAGTAAACGTTGTAATCTATGCTTGCTTGAGAAATACTTTATTTTATGTAACCCTGAATTAAGCTCACTTTTTTAACCGTAGGAATGAATTGATTAGTGTAGACACAGAAGGAAATTTTTATTACGATACCAACGCATATATACAACTTAAATACAATAGGTCTCTAATTTCCCCAGTGAATACTAATTATACCAATAAACCAATATAAACCTTATAACAATAAGCAGTTCCACCATGCATGATTGTTATTCTACAGTCTCATTCAGACCCTAGCACCTGACGACTGAAGTACCTCATGAAACAACCTGCTAGTGCCATAAAATATTGCTCGAACCATAGAGGTATTAAACAAAATACCCCCATGCACTCACCAAGCGTCATCTTGTTTTGAT